TCTGCTTACAAAGGAAATACCACTGATGAAAAGTATTTTACTTTTTGTTGTTCTGTTCATTATAGGCAAAGGTACTCTTTTACCATAAGGCTGTGTGAAACTGAAACTATACAGATAAAACATTACTGTTGGAGGCTCAACCGAACACCAGTATGGATTCAGTTAAGTGAGGCTTGATGGCTGAGCTTAAACATTATCGTTCTCCAAGAAAAAGATCAAGATGTGGCACACAAACTGGTTAAAATTATACCAATAATCAACAAAACACATTCTCTATTTAACATTTACCCCATATACATCTAATCATAGAAATAACAGCATCAACAGATTAGCATGATTAAGCATCAATAATTTACGACAGATTAGTACGACTCACCATCAATAATCTAAACCGAAAATTACTCCCTCAGACTAACCCACAAGACACTAAAACAACACACACAACACTAGTAAACAACACATTCCCAAACTAATAACTTCACAGAACTCCATGAAACTACACCCCAACGCCACTAACACCCACAAACCCCCCCTGAAATGACATGACATATGCTGTCCTCGCCTCCCAGAAGGAAAATCCCGAAGGCCTCAGGCTCACTCATCAGCTGTTTGTTTGTCAAAATCATCTGTCTAAATCCGAGGCCTCAGGCTCACTCATCAGCTGTTTGTTTGTCAAAATCATCTGTCTGTTTGTCTGTATGTCTGGCTCGAACTGTGTGCTCGCTCTCGCTCTCTGTCTGTTGGTCTGTTTGTCTGTTTGCCTCCCCGAAGGAAAATCCCGAAGGAAAATCCCGAAGGCCTCAGGCTCACTCATCAGCTGTTCCGGGATAAACAATAACAAAACACAACTCACCTCCCATATGCTGCAAAACTATACTGTGCGTTTAATGTTCTGACTTTATACAACGTCCCTGAAGTGTAGGACATCTTAAATAGAGAGGGATGGATAATAGGGCGAAAATGTTGCCTTAAAATGGGGGGAAAATAAGGCTAAAAAGGAAGGGGGTTTTGTACCTGAGCGCGACCGACTGTCAACAAGTGCCGTCGAGGCGTCGCTTAGACACCGAATCGCGAGGGAGGGAAGGGACTTCGTGGATACGCTCTAGGCTCTCGCTCTGTCTGTTTGTCTGTTTGTCTGGCTCGGACTGTGTGCTCGCTCGCGCTCTGTCTGTTTGTCTGGCTCGAAGTGTGTGCTCGCTCTCTGTCTGTTTGTCTGGCTCGAACTGTGTGCTCGCTCTCGCTCTCTGTCTGTTTGTCTGGCTTGAACTGTGTGCTCGCTCGCGCTCTCTGTCTGTCTGTCTGTTGGTCTGGCTCGGACTGTGTGCTCGCTCTCTGTCTGTTTGTCTGTTTGTCTGGCTCGAAGTGTGTGCTCGCTCTCGCTCTCTGTCTGTTTGTCTGTTTGTCTGCCTCGAAGTGAGTGCTCGCTCTCTGTCTGTTTGTCTGCCTCGAAGTGTGTGCTCGCTCTCTGTCTGTTTGTCTGTTTGTCTGGCTCGAAATATGTGCTCGTTCTCGCTCTGTCTGTTTGTCTGTTTGTCTGCCTCGAAGTGTATGCTCGCTCGCTGTCTGTTTGTCTGTTGGTCTGTTTGTCTATTTGTCTGGCTCGAAATATGTGTTCTCTCTCGCTCTCTGTCTGTTTGTCTGCCTCGAAGTGTGTGCTCGCTCTCTGTCTGTTTGTCTGTTGGTCTGTTTGTCTATTTGTCTGGCTCGAAATATGTGTTCTCTCTCGCTCTCTGTCTGTTTGTCTGGCTCGAAGTGTGTGCTCGCTCTCTGTCTGTTTGTCTGTTGGTCTGTTTGTCTATTGGTCTGTTTGTCTGTTTATCGGGCTCGAAATATGTGCTCTGTCTCGCTCTCTGTCTGTTTGTCTGGCTCGAAATATGTGCTCGTTCTCGCTCTGTCAGTTTGTCTGTTTGTTTGCCTCGAAGTGTGTGCTCGCTCTCTGTCTGTTTGTCTGGCTCGAAGTGTGTGCTCGCTCTCTGTCTGTTTGTCTGTTGGTCTGTTTGTCTGTTGGTCTGTTTGTCTGGCTCGAAATATGTGCTCGCTCTCGCTCTCTGTCTGTTTGTCTGGCTCGAACTGCGTGCTCGCTCTCGCTCTCTGTCTGTTTGTCTGTTCGTCTGTTTGTCTTTTTGTCTGTTTGTCTGGCTCGAAATGTGTGCTCGCTCTCGCTCTCTGTCTGTTTGTCTCTTTGTCTGTCTGTCTGGATCGAACTGTGCGCTCACTCTCGCTGTCTGTTTGTCTAGCTGGCTGGTTCTCTCTCTCTCTCTCTCTCTCTCTCTCTCTCTCTCTCTCTCTCTCTCTCTCTCTCTCTCTCTCTCTCTCTCTCTCTCTCTCTCCCTCTCCCTCTCCCTCTCCCTCTCCCTCTCTCTCCCTCTCCCTCTCCCTCTCCCTCTCTCTCTCTCTCTCTCTCTCTCTCTCTCCCTCTCTCTCTCCCCCCCCCCCTCCCTCTCTCTCATTCTCTCTCTCTCTCTCTCTCTCTCTCTCTCTCTCTCTCTCTCTCTCTCTC